CTGAGCCACTCAGGCACACCGCAATCTTTTTTTAAAAAAAAGTTTATTCATTTGAGTAATCTCTACACCCAACGTGGGGCTTGAACTCACGACCCCAAGATCAAGAGCTGCATGCTCTTCCGACTCAGCCAGCCAGGCACCCCCAAAGCTGAAGCAATCTTGTAAAAGAATAAGGTATACAAAAGGCTAATGGGTACACTGAAGGATGCTCAACACCATTTGTCATTAGGGAAATGAAAATCAAACCACAATGAATTACCATTTCAAACCCACGAGATGCCTATAATCAAGCAGACAATGCTAACATGTATTTCAGAGGATGTGGAGAAAGCAGAAACTGCATACATTGCTGGCTGGAATGTAAAATGGCTCCACAATTTTGGAAAAGTTTGGTAGTTCCTCAACATAGAATTCTCATATGGTATATACCCTAGGTACATACCCAAGAGAAATGGAAACCTACATTGACACAAAAGCTTGTTCATGAGTGTTCACTCACAATATTATTCACAATGACAACAAAACACAAATGAATCAAATGTCCATCAAGTGATGAATGGATAAATAAAATGTGGTATATCCATAAAATGGAGTATTAGGGAAAAAGTACTCACACATGTTACAATGTAGATAAACCCTGAAAATATGCTAAGTGAAAGAAGCCAGACACATAAGGTCATACTGTATTATTTCATTCATATGAAATGTCTAGAATAGGCATATCCATAAAACACAAAACAGATCAGTGGTGATAGAGGAGAATGAATAGTGACTACTAATGGATATAGGATTTCTTTTAGGGGTGATGAAAATGTTCTGGAATACAGAAGAGTAATGATCGTATAATTTTGTAAATACACTAAAACAATTGAATTGTACCCTTTAAATGGTGAATTTTGGGTATATGAATTATACCTTACTTTAATAAAAAGACAAAAAAATCCAAGTGTTTGCCAAGATGTGGAGAAATTAGAACTCTCATATAGTGCTGGTGGGAATGTAAAATGGTGCAGCCACTTTGGAAAATAGTTGGCAATTCTTCAAAAGGCTAAACACTGGAGGTACCAGATGACCCAAGCCAATTCCTCTTCTATCCAAAACAAATGCAAACGTATGCCCACACAAAATCTTGTATATGATTGTTCACAGCAGCATTACGCACAACGGCAAAAAAAGTGGAAAGAACAAAACGCCTATTAATTGATGAATGGAGAAATAAAATGTAGCATATACACCCATAGGACTGACTGTTAATCAGCAATAGAAAGGACTGAAATACTGATACATGTTACAACATGATGAAGCTTGAATGTATGCTAAGTGAAAGAAGCCAGTCACAAAATAGCCACATATTACATGTAAGAAATGTACAAAATAGGCAACACTATAGAGGGAGAAAGTAGATTAAGTAATTTCCTAGGGCTGGAGGATGGAGGTGAATAGGATGTGTGATAACGGGTGAGAAATTTCTTTTTGGGGTGATGAATATGATCTAAATTTAGATTAGGAGATGGTTGCACAACTCTATAAATATACTAAAAACAACTGAATCATACACTCCAAATGGGTGAATTTTAAGATAAATTCTGCCTAAATAAAACTATTAATTTAAAAAAAAGGAACAACTCTGGAGTCGCAATGAGAAAAAATGCAATTCAAATTCTGTATTCAACAAAAATATCCTTCTCAAATGAAGGCAAGTAAACTTAATCAGTTCCCTAAATATTTTTCACCAAAGGTCCTTGTGCCTCAAGATGCTCCTAAGAAGAGTTTTAAAAAAAGAAAGAAACAAATATACAGGTGTGTATGTGTGTAACCTCAGGTTTTATAGAGCACATCAGTGTATCAAAGAATCATAAAAGTCGTGAGGTAAAGCAAAATAAGATAGCATTTCCCCAAATCATTTATCCAACACATTCCTTTTTTGAG